ATTATGGATGAACGCTCAAGTCACGCTTGTTGCTTTTAGTAGCATCTAACTCACCTGCCAAACATGGAATAACGGTATTGATTTTTCAATAGACTGGTTCTAAAAATTACCGTCTTGTAAATGAGGTGATTGTGATAAACATTTCTTGGGTATACGTATATAAATGAAATTAAAAAAGACTACCGGATACGCATGCCTGACGAGCGGCAAGAACCGCGTAACCGGTTGTGTGCTTCCAGGGAAATTTTGTCCCGTCATTCACATACTACTTAATAAGAAATGTACGTACATGATAGTTCAGTGAGAAGTCTGGTGGTTTTTCAAGCTGAATGCTGATACAGCATCCGGTGAATGATATGAGTAATTGTGTTTGGTTATCGGAGCTTATCGAGGTAAAACAGAGACGGAGACCCAATTCAACAGGCACTGGGCAGGGATGAGGTGAAGGGGTCTAGACACTTAGTGGGATAAGACGAGGTGAGCTGTTGAAGTATTTGGGCCATCTTATGGCCCCAACGATGTGTACGGAAGTAGAATCCAAGGGCTGACGGGCGTGCATAGGATGAATGTATAGTCTTCTCTGGAACAAGAGACTGCCTCCACCCACCCGCAGTCCACATGAGGGCATTAATGACACATAACAGAAGAGGGACATCACACAATTCTGCCCCCGGTCTACCCAGTATGGATACCCTCATTATCCTAATTACACCAGTATATGATTACTCGTGCGTGAAATTACGCGAAAGGATCCGGTCGGAGTCAAATAATGTTTTCTGTACGGAAATGATGCGGTGTCAGTCTGTCTATACGAGAATAGCCAAAAGGGAGAAGATTAAACTAGTTCAGGTGGACGACAAAACCCGGCAAAGATATTGGGACTGGACAAACTGGAGTGTAAGAAGAATTTGAAGTGCAATAGACTGTGCGTAGCAACGGTCCCACCGAAGTCATGTCAATCCGACAGAACGAACAGAAGTGTGATTAGCAGGGGATAACTGTTCTGACTTCTTAAGGTCAAGAACTGAGAGGGCAAACTGTCTTGCATTTCAAACGAGATGATCAACCGGAAAGGACAAGAATAAAAACGGTCCAGTTGGAATGTAACGGATAAATAAGCACTACGGTTGAGGATAGGAGTTGAACAACAATGGGTTAAATCAAAGGGCAAGAGGGAAGCCAAATGAATCTAAGCGAATGACACCGACACCTCAGTTGCGATGATGGATGGTAAGAATAAGGAGGGGATCATTTAAGCGTTTTTATATTGCCCACTTCAATGTACTCACTCTCACCCTCTCAGACACCAGACGAAATAAGATATTTTACGCCTGTCTTGTCCGCGTTGGGAATCGGTAGGTGTAACGTATGGGTAGCGGTTTCTTATTTGAGAGAGCTTATGCAGTTCTACTTACGGAACCTATCGGTCAGTGAAACTCCCCCTACCAAATCCCTTCAACATAATGTGTCGCTTTGTTAAAAGTATGATTCTCACGGGATGACACAGACTCGCAAGTGATTTAAACAACGGTAAAGCTTTCATATTAACGGGAGGTGGGGTAGATGTCTGTTGGAATTCTTTAACACACAAGAGGGATGGAAGGGAAACACCTGGAATAAAGTGAAGTGTTTCCAAATAAATCGGTGATGGTGACTCTAAAACAGCTTGTGTAGGACGAATGCTCAGACCTCATCACTCACTATCAGTCTCATTCTTTAGGCACGAAATCAAATTAAAAGTAGCGATGACTGCAGTCTTCCGTGTGTCAGCTTGGTAAAAAAATGAATTCAACCCAGTTAGATCGAATACATGTGGATCCAAATATGAATCAGAATGTGTGTGTGTGTGTGTGTGTGCGGTGAAATTCCCTTATCCGGATGACACGAAGGCCAGCGTAATTGCCTCCCCTGATCAGGGGACTTGTCAGAAAAGTTCGAAAACCTGGTTGAAGACTGACTAGCATAAACTATGTATTTGTTGTCGTCGTCGTCGGTTGTCGTGGTGTCTAGTTAAAACCCAGCTTCGTAAAAAATAAGAAATGCTTAGGAGGATCTGTATGACACGGGTGAGGAATGAACCATGTGAATTTCATATATTGATCATCTCGATTGGTATATGAAAAACTAGTCTCAGTAGCCGGTCACAAATCGATCAGCCAAGTCCAGTGCAATCAACAATATCATGGATAAATGCATTTCATCAGGCATTCTTCCGTAATCGAGAACGGGCAAATTTGAAGCACGGAGGGAAGGGAGGGTCAGGCGTAAAAAGGCGGAGGTGAATGACGATGATGATGATGATGACGCAAGCGGAAGCGGTTGTGATGGTGATAGTAGCCTGTGGCGGTAGCCGTGGTGATGCCAATGGCAGTTGTGGTTCTTTGGCACGGGCTACACATAACAGCAAATCAAATTCATTAGAAAACTCACCGATAATGGACGGATCTTGCGAAAATCGTTCGAACAACCTCTCGCCCAAATGTCGTTTCTCGGCTAGAACACAGCGGGGCGGGAAAAAAGGAAAGTATTAAATTGTGCATGTCTTGCTCTGGTGATCTGTCGTGGAATTGTAAATATTTGGGCACAATTTCAAATGACAGGCAAAAAACACAAGCGCTAAACGACAAAAAATAACTATGATAAAAACATTTAAATTGCATTATTTTTTGCAGAGGAGGCTAGAAACAAACATTTTCACATTATGCCAAAAATTATTCTCCTAAATCCATCATTGGTAAGTGAACTAATAGGGACCTTGTGCATGTTTAATTATGCATACTACATGGATGCAAGAGAGATGTCCACATTGAAGCCGTCGCTGGTCATTCTCATTTCGCCACATAGAATTCAGGGAACGGTTTGAAACATTGCAAATAAACTAACACCGCTGTATTGTTCATCAATAAACCAATACAAATTTGGTTGAGATGAAAATGATAACACCAAATCCAGCGATGCGCGTTTGTTTGCTATCTTGGAGGATTGCCATTATTGCCGTCATGTCTGCATTGATCCAGTCATGCATTCACGCCGAACGATATTCAAACAAGCATGCCACTAGGCGAAATCTTCATGTCACGTGACTAGCGCTACCGATCGGTTCGAACAAACAATTTTTTTAATCGACGGATCAATGAATTGGCCGCGCCAGTCATTGACCCATTTGACCAGCATTCATTCACAAGAGACGAATCAGCCGAAGCAGGAAAGCAAAATGGTGTGGTGCATTGATGGAATCGATAATACGAAACTGTCACCTTACAGCTTACTGTGTCCTGTATGTAGTTATTTCCCTATAAATCACTGTGACTTCGTTCCATAGCTGGTCATTTATTGTCTTTTGAGACGTTATACATTATTCATTTGGTCCCGGTTCCAATACATCAACCGACCACTAAAAATCCGCAAGGTTTCATTGGTTTGATTAACTTATGCTGTGTTTCGAGCAACCTGTCCTTCGGTTCAACGCGAATGTGGAATGGAAAAGTGTAACGCGTTCGGCAACTTGCCGCTTCAGTCCAAACGTGTGAGTTGTATTTGTTTCCCTGGTCATTCGGGCCAACAGTATTAATGCTCCTCGTCTATTGCAGATACTCAGTTAACGCTGCCCGTTGAGAACCTTGTGCCTATGCCCAGACTCAATCCACATACGACCGTCTCCAGTGTCCTATCTCGAGGGAGACATCCTGCTGCATAGTCGAGCCCAGCATATTGTAAAAGCACAACAACGATGAATAAACCAAAATGGTGATATAAGTTGTGAGCTTTCCGATATTTCTGGTAATAATTATCGTATGTAACGGTGATAATTCCCTGCAGTATATTTTCAATTACACGGATACGTGGAGGAATGCAAATGAGTGAACCCATGCTGTTATATGGGGCATCCGGGATATGAGGAATGCTAGAACAGGGACAAGGGAGCAACTGCCGGTTAATGGGGGTATGGGTACGATGGTCGCTGGCTTTATATTGAATCCGGCCGAGGGACAGAAAGGGAAAGAGGGTGACGGAGCACTATTCTACACGAGGAATGTAAAACCGTGCAATGGGGTACGTCGAGGTTCGGTACAAAAACAGAGGATGGAATAGTGAAAAGAATAGTTTGGCGCCGAATAAGAGACCTGTCTGGCGCGCAGCACG